GTATACCTAGCTTGCTGAGGTACTCCTAGTTCATCAAGGTACTCCTATCTCACCGAGTTAACCCAGCTCACTGAAGTACCCCTAGCTCACTGAGGTACCTCTAACTCACTGAGGTATACCTAGCTTGCTGAGGTACTCCTAGTTCATCAAGGTACTCCTATCTCACTGAGTTAACCCTGCTCACTGAAGTACCCCTAGCTCACTGAGGTATACCTAGCTTGCTGAGGTACTCCTAATTCATCAAGGTACTCCTATCTCACTGAGTTAACCCAGCTCACTGAAGTACCCCTAGCTCACTGAGGTAAACCTAGCTTGAGGACGGTATACTTACTCTGTGGGTAAAAGCTTCAATCTTTGTCTGTAGGCCCCAAACCTCAAACTTAACCCTGACAGCCTTGTAGGAGCACATCACTGGCTTCACAGAGTCCTACAGGTATACAAGGTAATCACATACTCCTATATTCTTTACATTTCATTACAAGCATATAGACATACTTCCTATACATAAACAACACATAATAATCACTTACTCATCCAGAGATTCCTACATACTGTATACCTGAAAACTGTTACCCAGGCAAAATATTTGCCCTCCACTGTAACAGTCTATATTTGCCCTTCACATTTGCCCTTCACTATTACAGTCTATATTTGCCCTTCACTATTACAGTCTATATTTGCCCTTCACTATTACAGTCTATATTTGCCCTTCACTATTACAGTCTATATTTGCCCTCACTATTACAGTCTATATTTGCCCAGTGTTAATTTAGCCCTTCACATGTAATGACGATAAATGGTACTAATATTTGCTTTTATGATAAAATTGCCCTTACCGAAATGGGTGAAAATGGCAAAAAATAATTAATGGCAAAGTAGGCAAACATTTCACAGTGTACAGTATATACATGTACACAATATCTGGTAAATAATTCACTTCCTCAACAGATTTATATCAATATTCCAAGCAATCCCTGATACATCAGTCAACATACATACCCCAGCTAAAACTACCTTGGCCTATAAACCCCCATCACCAGCTGTCTTACCTTCCCCATACAAAACCCTACACCAATGTAAATTCTCCCTACAAACTCACTCATCAACCTTCTCACAACATCCCTACATCTCCCTATGAGCATCAACCTTACTTCTCATTGCACATTAACACACCAGAATTCCTTCTCACTATAAATCAATACACACACCAGCCTATCTTCTCCTTACGAACACATACCAGCCCACCTTCTCATTACAAACCAACACCAGCCAACCTTCCCCTTACAAACATACACCAGCCTACCATCTCGTTACACTACACACACCAGCCTACCTTCTCCATACAAACACATACCAGCCTACCTTCTCCTTACAAACACATACCAGCCTACCTTCTCCTTACAAACACATACCAGCCTACCTTCTCCTTCCAATACACACACCAGCCAACCTTCTCCTTTCAAACGCATACCAGCCTACCTTCTCCTTACAAACCCACACCAGCCTACCTTCTCCTTCCAATACACACACCAGCCAACCTTCTTACAAACACATACCAGCCCACCTTCTCCTTACAAACACATACCAGTCTACCTTCTCCTTACAGTACACACCCCAGCCTACCTTTTCCTTACAAACACACACCAGCCTACCTTCCCTTTTCAAATACACACCAGCCTACCTTCTCCTAACACACACATACCAGCTGCCTACCTTTTCCTTACAAACCCACACCAGTATACCTTCTCCTTACAATACACATACCAGCCTACCTTCTCCTTACAATACATATACCATCCTACCTTCTCCTAACAATACATACACAAGCCTACCTTCTCCTTACAAACACATACCAGCCTATCTTTTCCTTACAAACCCACACCAGCCTACCTTCTCCTTACAATACACATACCAGCCTACCTTCTCCTTACAATACACATACCAGCCTACCTTCTCCTTACAAACACATACCAGCCTATCTTGTCCTTACAAACACAAACCATCCTACCTTCTCCTAACAATACATACACCAGCCTACCTTCTCCTTACGATACACATACCTGCCTACCTTCTCCTTACAAACACATACCAGCCTACCTTCTCCTTACAAACACATACCAGCCTATCTTCTCCTTACACACACAACAGCCTACCTTCTCCTTACAAACACATACCAGCCTACCTTCCCCTTACAATACACGCACCAGCCTACCTTTCCTTTACAATACACACACCAGCCTACCTTCGTCTTACAAACACATACCAGCCTACCTTCTCCTTACAAACCCACACCAGCCTATTTTCTTTTAAAAACACACCAGTTTTCTCTCTACAAACACACACCAGCCTACTTACTTCTTACTACTAATCAAAATCAATAGCCTTCTTTCTTCTTTTAAACACACACCAGACTACTTTCTTATTACAAATCCTAACAGCAACCACCTTTCTTAATACAAATCCTAACAAAAGCCTATCTTCTCTCTATGAACTCACACCAGCTTACCTTCCACTCCTTCTTCAGCTGCCCTCTTCCTGTCTTTCTGGATACGAATAGTGTCGGATCCTGAGAATAAAAGAAAAACATGACACCCTTATATAACTCAATGAATTGATAAAGCTGTTTGGCAGAAGGATGTTCAGTGTAATGATGGTATTTATAATGAGCTTATATCACTGATACTAATCAACCTATGTAGCTGGCAGTCTGCAGAAATCAATACTGCATTGGCTATATTTCAGGTGTCAGATGTAATTACCATTGTATCATGGTACTAATGTCAAACTTGCCATGCTAAAGAGAAAAGGCAATACCTGCAGCAAGATCTACTCTTTCACTAGTAGAACTAAATTATGTATATTTTTTCCTGGCTGATTCGCCTGTATTTTCTTCATTTTCAGTAAAATGGAATAAATGCCAATTGAAGTAAGACCCGTATATAACTATTAATTTCATTCTTAAATGTACTCTCCAACTGAAAGTCACTGTCACATTATAATTATGTAGTATTTACGTATTTCAGATACAAACCTCTGATTCTTTGTAATGTTTGTCAGCCATGTCGTCATAGGCAATGTCAATATGTTCTACCTCACGGTCTTCAAGCTCCTCTTCACTGAGACCAAGTACCTGCCAAATGTAATCACACTTACTATACGGAACACCTGTTAACATGGATAATAACACTTACTACACATAATACATGTAAACAGGTAATCACACTTACTATATAGAACACCTGTAAACAGGTAATCACACTTACTACACTAAACACATGTAAACAGGTAATCACACTTACTATACAGAACATCTGTAAGTAAGTCACACTTACTCTACAGAACACCTGTAAGCAGGTAATCACACTTACTATACAGAACACCTGTAAACAAGTAATCACACTTACTACACAGAACACCTGTAAACAGGTTATCACACTTACTAGACAGAACACCTGTAAACAAGTGATCACACTTACTATACAGAACACCTGTAAACAGGTTATCACACTTACTACACAGAACACCTGTAAACAGGTTATCACACTTACTACACAGAACACCTGTAAACATGAAATCACACTTACTACATGTATACTGAACACCTGTAAACAGGAATTCACACTTACTACACAAAACACATGTAAACAAGTGATCATACTTACTATACAGAACACCTGTAAGCAGGTTATCACTCTTACTACACAGAACACATGTAGACAGGTAATCACACCTACTACACAGAACACCTGTAAACAGGTAATCACACTTACTACACAAAACACATGTAAACAGGTAATCACACTTACTATACAGAACACCTGTAAACAGGTAATCACACTTACTTCACAGAACACCTGTAAACAAGTTATCACTCTTACTACACAGAACACCTGTAAATAGGTTATCACACTTACTAGACAGAACATCTGTAAACAGGTTATCACACTTACTATACAGAACACCTGTAAACAAGTTATCACTCTTACTACACAGAACACATGTAAACAGGTAATCACACTAACTAGACAGAACATCTGTAAATAAGTGATCACACTTGCTACACAGAATACCTGTAAACAGGTTATCACACTTACTATACAGAACATCTGTAAACAGTTAATCATTCTTACTATACGGAACACCTGTAAACAAGTTATCACACTTACTATACAAAACACTGTAAACATGTGATCACACTTACTATACAAAACACTGTAAACAGGTTATCAAACTTACTATACAGAACACCTGTAAACAGGTTATCACACTTACTATACAAAACACTGTAAACAGGTGATCACACTTACTACACAGAACACCTGTAAACATGTGATCACACTTACTATACAGAACACCTGTAAACATGTGATCACACTTACTATACAAAACACTGTAAGCAGGTTATCACACTTACTATACAGAACATCTGTAAACATGTGATCACACTTACTATACAGAACATCTGTAAACAGTTAATCATTCTTACTACACAAAATACCTGTAAACAGGTTATCACACTTACTAGACAGAACATCTGTAAACATGTGATCACACTTACTATACAGAACACCTGTAAACAGGTTATCACACTTAGTACACAGAACACATGCAAACAAGTGATCACACTTACTATACAGAACATCTGTAGACAAGTGATCACACTTACTATACACAACACATGTAAACAGGTAATCTCATTTACTATTCAAAACATGTAAACAAGCCTATCATATATATGGTATCTTACACAGAATACCTGTAGACACTTTCCAATAATTTCTGGACATATTGCCTGTGTACTTACATTTTCTGAACAACCATTGTCGTCTTTGTACTTTGTCTCGATGTAGATTGAAAAGAGTGGCATAAATGAGCACTGCAAGATAACGTAAGTGGATCACATTGCAAGATTTGTTTCATTAGATACTGCTAACACACAAGTGAACAGACAATTTAAAGAATCTGTTACTGGTTACATGTTATCATGTAAAACAAGAACTGTACACCATAGGCCCAGACATTTCCAGATTAAACTCAGTGAACCAAGTGCCTGTGACAATGTATGCCCACAATCAATTAAGTGAACCATGCCCCTGTGTTCCTTACATCTTGTTTTCATGTGTCTTTGTGGTGTTTTATATCAATAACAAAATGTACCAACATGTTTAGCCTGACTAATGTTCAAAAGAATTAAACCTATTAAAACTGCATGGTCTAGTCAAGCAAACATCAATAGCTTTAAACCCTATATATATATATATATACAACAGGTTCCAGGAACAACTGTAGTAAATTTGGTTCTGATTGAATGTAGGTAAATATATTCCTTCCTGATAGACACCAGATGGACAGATAGACGGAAAAGACTAATAATTGATGCCCTGGGCCATATTGTTGACAGATAATAACAATAACTATGTAAGGCGAGATGAATATCTACCTGTTACTGTATTCAAAGGATAATAATGAATAACATTTTAGTTAACTTTTTCTTTTCAGCAACCATTTGTGTGGCCCCTATGACAGGGTTAGTACAATTTTACTAGCAACTTCAAGGTTTTTTAGGGTCTTTTTGAAAATAAGGCCTAAAATCTCATGGCCATTTGCCTGGAATTCCGAAGACTGAATGTGTACTTAATCTGGATCCATAATTTGTTTAGCAGCCATATAGCTACTTGACAAGAGCTAAATAGGGGGTTTTATGTGTAAATCCTTTCTAAAAGGAATATTATGATAAACTAAAAGCTGAAGAACTAAGTGGATATTATGTAAAATATAATTATCTGAGAAAACTGACTTGACTACATGATTGTGCAAGATGTAAAGAGGTAAAACCTATTATGTTGTCAAGGCCCTTTAGATTTACATTTAAGTAATTTAAAACCAACTGTCTGTGTGTACGTGTTGCATAATTATCTTTATATATATATTACAGACTCAACATGGTGCGCAGCTTTCAATAAGTAGGTCAAATCATTGCACTAAATCTTAAATTACACATTTCATATTCTGTAAAAGGTAAACAACAGACATACAGGTTATGAGACAACTTTTTATCACGAAGGTAAGACGTATGTAGGAACAGTGCAAATGTTTAGGCATTCTATTACATGTACATACAAAAATATCTAAATAATCACCTCTTCTGTAAACATGCATCCCACCATTCTTTGTTAACTTTTCTGTAGCTGTTGGTTAATCATTAAATCATTAAAAGAAAGCTAGGTTAAAAGGAACAAGAAATCCCAGAGAACGTAATTAGGTTTATTAAGTTTATTTTTTTTCCTTTTTTGTTATCTTATATAGCTTCATACTATACGATGGCCGATAGCAGTCGACACAAAACAACTACAATATAAGACATTTGTGTACATGTACACTTTTTAAAAACTGTACATGTACACAATACAACTACAAGTGCTATTAACATTCCAAGTTAAACAAGTTCTTTATTTGCTGAAGTTTTACAACTTATGGCAATTACAGATGACAAAGACACTCACACTGACTCGCACACATCATCCTCATCATCAAGAACACTCACACTAACTCGCACACATCATCCTCATCATCTTCATTATCCTCATCTTCATCATCATCAACAACATCATCATCAAGAACACTCACACTAACTCGCACACATCATCCTCATCCTCATCATCACCCTCATCTTCTCCATCATCAACAACATCATCATCATCAAGAAAACCTATAAATGTTAAGGGAGAAATAGTTTCAACGTGGTGTTCATTGGTATAACGCGATATACAATGTATAGTAAAATTTAGCGCGGTAACTTTTAACATATAGTAGTTGAACGCGTTAAGTAAAATATTGTTCAATCATCTCGTTGACATGAACGAATTTATACAAAATCCCTTGACGTTGTTGTTATAGATAGGAAGTGCTGTCACAACATTACTGCCTCTATGGGGTTTTTTTAAAGTGGGAGAAAAAAGAGCACACCGTCTGGCACCAGATGTTTAAGGATTATGTAGACAATATGTACTCCTTTACTTACTAACGAGTGTTTATGTTGTGACATAATAGCTTAATTGACATTCATTACTCCACCCAAAGAGCAGGAACCTGTAAACTCAATTAAGGCACCTTACTACGTTTGACATCAAAGTCTCTAAATCTCAATGCTAATAAACCTCATTTAATTGGCTTTGAGCATATTAGCTTATCATTACATATGTAAACAATCACCTGTTCGTAACAGAATGAATTTACAAGTTTTATTTTTACTCTCACGCCACACGTATACGTGCGTAACAAGAGGTCACATAATACA